GACTGCCTGCCTTGTGAGGGACTCGCCTCTGCAGCCAGCAGGCCACACTTACTGCCCCTGCATGTGCTGCCCCTCCAGGAGCCCAGGAGCAGCCCGAGCAATGACCTTGAGTCAGGCTGGATGTCTACCAAAAGTTTTGTCTGCTCAGAGTCTAATGTTTATCATATTTTCACCTTTTTTTCAATTATTTGTGCTGTTTGACCCAAAAGAGCCAACTCTCCTCCCAATTTGGGGCTATCGTAAGATGTCCATGATCATATGCAATTCTGGACATTCCGTCAGAATGATTCCAGCAGAGACGTAGTGTCTGATTCACTTTTTAGATTATCCTCATAATAAAACCTCTCAGTTTTAGGTTCACGGAAAAACTGAAGAGGAAGAACAGATAGTTTCCATGTCCCCTTTGTCCCCACACACAGTCACCTCCATTATCAACATACCTTAGTGTCCATTTGTTAAGATTACCTGGACACATCATTATTTCTCAAAGTCCACATGGAGCATTAGAGTTCACTTTTGGTGTTAAATATTTTGTGGAATTTTACAAACACATATGGTAAATATGCAGCATTTGAGTATCATACAATAAAGTTTTGCCTTTTCTAGAGGAACACATTAGGAATCACACACTATGTACCCTTTTTAGATTGCCTTCTTTCACTTAGTACAGTAATATGCATTTAAGTTTTCTCTATGACTTTTCCTGGCTGACGTTTTCATTGTGCTGAATTATAGACTTTTGTCTGGATATGCACGATATATTTACCCATTCATTTACTGAAGAACATTTCAGTTACTTCCAAGTTTGGGCAATTATGAAAAAAGGCTGCTATAAATAACTGTGTGCAAGGTAGTATATAAAGATAAGTTTTCAATTCATTTGAATAATATCAAAAATACTACCATGCTGTATTGTTATGGTTTAGATATAAAACATTCCCCAAAAGTCTTATGTGGACCATTCAGAAGGTGATGGGAGGGTGTCCGTTATCACTACTCCTGTTCAGTGTAGTTCTTGAAACATTAGCCAGAGTAATTGGACAAAAGAAAGAAATAAAAAGGATACAGAAGAAGGAAAGGAAGAAGTTAAATTATTATTATTTGCAGATGACATGATTCTCTACATAGAAGACCACAAAAGCTCCACCAGAAGACTCCTGTTAGAATGTTTCCAGCAGATGCAGTGTCTCCCTGTATCTCTGTCTCTCTGTCTGTCTCTTTCTGTCTGTTTATCTGTGTTTCTCTCCCTCTGTCTCTGTCTCTGTCATTCTCTGTTTGTCTCTTTATGTGTTTCTGTTGCTGTCTCTCTGTCAGTCTCTCCCTCTGTCTCTCTCTCTGTCTCTCTGTCTCTCTCTCTGTCTCTCTCTATCTCTCTGTCTCTCTCTCTGTCTCTCTCTCTGTCTCTGTCTCTCTCTGTCTCTCTCTCTCTCTCTCTCTCTCTCTCTCTCTCTCTCTCTCTCTCTTTCTCCCTCTGTCTCTCTCTGCTTCCAGCTGTCATCAGGCAAACAGATTTCCTCCACCAGCCCCTTCTGCCATGATGCTTCTGCCTCAGAGCTGGTCAACAATGGACTGAAACCTCTGAAACCGTGAGCTAACGATTCCTCTTCTCCTTTAAGTTGTAGATGTCAGCTATTTAGTTTCAGAAAGAGAAAAGCTCACTAATATGTTTATGTTAAAATTATGTTTAGTTTTGTGAGTAGCTGCCAAAATGTCTAGAAACTTGGCTGCAGGAATTTACCCTCCCACTAGCAAAGGAAAACAGTTCCAACTAGTCAACATCTTCCTCAATAATTTGATGCTGTCTGTGTTATAAATTTTGGTTATTTAAGTAGGTGTGTAGTCTACCTCACTGTTATTTTTTTTGTTCTTCCCTCGTGACATATGATGATGAGTACCATTCTATATCATTTTGTGCCATCTGTATATCTTATTTAGTAGAGTGTCTAAATACCTTTACCTATTTTTAAGTTAAGGTGTTCATTTTCCTATTGTTAAATTTTGAGATAACTTTGTATATTTTGGATAACAGTCCTTTACCAGATGTATCACTTGAAAACATTTATTCTCAGTTTGTGACTTATTGCTTCATTATTTTGACATTATCTTCTGCATAGCAGAAGTTTTAAAATTAAATCTAGCTTATCAATTACTTTCTTCATGGATTATGGATCATTTTTGGTGCTGTATCTAAAAAGTCATTACCATAACCAAAATCATCCTAATTTCCCTCAAATCATTTTCTAGCAGTTTTATGGTTTTGAATTTATCACTTAAGTCTAGGGTCTATTTTCAGTTAGTTTTTTTGTAAGTGTAAAGTGATAGCTTAAGCTCATCTTTCTGCATATGGATGTCTAGTTTGTTCCAGCATCACTTGTTGAAGACTCTTTGCTCATTGCATTGCTTTTGCGACTTTCTCAAAGATCAGTTGGAAACATTAAATTCTCTGTGTAGGACTTTTGATTGATCTGTTTATGTACTGTTTTGCCAGTAGCGTGTGCTCTTGATTACTGGGATTTATATAGAGTAAGGGTTGAAGTCAGACACTGAGTCTCTGACTCTTTCTTCTCCTTGGATATTGACTTAGTTATTCAGGATCTTTCTTTGCCTCTCCACGTAAACTTTAAAAATTGTTTATAGATGTCTACAAAATAATTATCTGGAATTTCAGTTAGGATTTAATTGATTCTGTAGCTTGAATTAGAAAGGACTGACATCTAGGCAATATCAAGTCTTTGAATCCATGAACATAGAAGATCCTTCCATTTATTTGGGTTTTTAAAATTTCTTTTATTAGTTTTGTGGTGTTTCTCATTTGGATCTTTCACATGTTTTGTCACATTTATACATAACTGTTTCAATTTGGGGGCAATTTATGAAAATTTTATTGTAATATTAACCTCAGATTCTACATGGTCCTGGTTAGTATATAGAGAAGCAATTAATTTGTAGTTTAACTTTGTATCCTACAAAGTTTTTAATTCATTCCAAAAAGTTTTAATTAATGTTCATTTTTTCAGATTTTCTACTTTGATTTTCATGTGTTCTTACAACAAAGATAGTTTTATCTTTTTCCTTCCCAATCATATACTTGTTACTTCCTCTTTGTATCATATTACCTCAGCTTTCAAAAATAAAATCTTGTTCCCGATCTTAGCAAGAAAGCTTCCAGCTTCTTACAAATTCGTGAACTCTACTGGTGATTTTCCTACCCCAGTATCCCAGCTCTAGTGAGCTCTGAGTCTCTGTATTTCCAATGTCAGCTCAGGGTTTCACCCTGGGACCTCCTTTCTCTGACAGTTCTTAGAAAACTTGATTTTTCCATTTCATTTGTTCAGTTGTTTATTTGTTGTGGTAGAGCCACAGCTTCCAAGATTCTTATATGTCATACTAGAATCTAGAAGTCTGACATTTTATTCAAATTATTTTTCATAAGATCCTTTATAGTTTCCTATAATAGCCTTATTAAATGCAACATTTATCAATATTTAAATTTACAATTAAGAAGATGTTTTAGTATCTTCCCAATTATTTTTATGCAATCCATTAGACAAAAAATACTTCTATTTTATTTACTATTAAAGCCTACAGATTTTTGGTTCAGAAGTGTTAAATCCAAATCAAAACAAATTTTCCTTCACTTTAGACCAGAATTTCCTAAGTTACAATTCCAGCAAGAATGGAAGCCTAACTCTTCACCTATCAAAGTTTAAGTTTCTATGATATACGTATATATGCATATATATATATATATATATATATATATACTTTCTACCTTTAATTTTATTCTCTTGTAACACTATAAGAATTTTCCAAGAAAATACTGTAAAGTTTTAATAAAAACCAAAACTTGACACTTTATTAAAAATCATTTTAGAGCCATGTTTTTGTACGTGCTAATCATTTTAGAGCCATGTTTTTGTACGTGCTTAACAGTAATACAATTCCATTATTCTATGCAACCAAAATACTTAATGATGAATAAAATCTAAAGCTTGGTTATTGTCTATAAGGTTTATTTTAAAAAGAAAAAAACACAGGTGATGCTTCCATCACATTTGGGGAAACACTCATGGAAACATCTTAAAGACCTAGTTACCTGTGAAAGGACCTCTTGTAAATGTTGCAAGAGCTCCCAGAATGCACTAACTATATTAGAAAAGAGAAGCAGCATTTTCAATGGTCACCATTTACCAATATACGGTTAAAAGATGAAATCCACAGCACGCTGCAGGTATTGTCAGAAGGCTATGCCTTGAGAGAGCTGCAGCAGCCAATCTGTCATTTTCCAAGACAGCTAGGATCATCTTCTTCCTGGCTTGATACCTCAGCGAGAATCACCAGCACTTGTTTTTGCGCATTCTCTTGGATCTGAACACTGTCCTCTTTTTAAATGTGCTTAACGGAAAACTTCACAAACCGTAAGATTCCTCTGCTCCAAGGATAGCATTATTTTTAAAAAGATTTATTTCTGTTGGGTTTAGATACTGAACTCTTTCTAATATCAAAAATCCATGGTTCTAGTTTCTATACATTAGTGCTCTATAGACAAATATGCTCTAATCAGTATTACTGCTTTAAAAGTTATACTTCACCTTAAACCAATGTCTTTCTTTTCTTCCCCCTTGGGAAAGTTCATCTTTTGACATAAAGTCTTGCTATGTGGTTCAGACTGGCCTTACACCCACTATGTAACCTAGGCTGGTCTGGAACTCGTGAGGATCCTCCTATCTCAGCCTACTAGGATTACAGGTGTGCACCACCACATCTGGCTCAGGCCAGTGCTTCTTAACTGTTTTTCCATTGCTCTCCCCAAAAGCAGTCTTTTTAGGTCTTTCATTTCTCCTGATTGCAAATCCACACACTCTATAATGCTTTGGACCTGGAAGTGTATGGTCGCTCAGTAAGGTACCCTTGGAGCCAAGATCCCACAACACAAAATATCAAACATCCCTTGGTCACCCTCAAGAATTGCTTTTTCCTTTGGAGGCTTGATTTCTCACCTCTGCTGAGACACATGCTCTGGATGTCAAAGCATCTTCATGCAGATATCATGAAGCATTTCATGAGAGGGAAGCCTCCAGGTTCTTTCTTGCAGGAGGCCAACCTCAGGCTGACCTGTGTCCTAGAAAGAAGGGAGATGGAACAGAGCTGTGGTTAAGTCTTTGCCTCCACTTCTGCACAGTCAACTGCCCTCTCTTGTTAATTCTGCAAGGACTAGAATAGAATAACAGTTAAGGAAAATTAGAGAACATCTTCCCATTTGCTATCCAGGATTTTATGTTACTTTTGAGAATTGTGTATAAATTGACCCTCAGAGAGTGTGTCCCCATCTAAAGCTGGATACACACCTGTGGTGGATGATAATTTGAATTTGGACCACTAGTCCAGCCCCTGAACTCATGAATACATTCCTAAGTGGACAAAGCATATGACAGAGGTAATGACAAATACTTCATCTCAGGTTGATGTGTGGCTGTTGACCTGATACATCTTAAAATTGAAAATTTTCAGGAAAACATACTTGTTTCTGCCCTTCCCACCAGATACCAACTCATGCCTTCCATGCCACCCATGCCTTTCATTGTCTGTTTGTCTCAAAATCATACAACCTTGTGGTTTCTTCTGCCAAAGTAAAGATTTTCACACATTCAATAGTGAAGGCTCCCACTGAGGAAGCCTGAGGTCACCATGGTTTCTCCCATGCCCAAACTCTGGAAGCAACTGTGATCTGATACATGAAGAATGATTTGACCCCACAACTTCTGGCTCGATCCCTGGGTGTCTGAAAACTATAGCACCACCGTATTTACATTCTAAAATAAAAATCATCTCATCTCATAACTACAAAGAATGTAAGAAAAGAGGTATACAGTAAATCAATCTCTACATTACTAGTTTTCTCAACAAATGAGAGAATTGTATTTTATCTACAACCCCAATCAACGGTGTCAAGAAGAGTCACATTTTATATTTCACTCCCCACCCCAATTACCTCAGAACTAGAATTCAGTTATAAAATCTAATTCTAACTGCTGCAACTGCTTATTAAAAGCCATTTGAAAGACACTCTACCCTTCCTGCAAGTACAGACCTTTCCACTATGTTCCTTCTTCCTGCCCCATCATGCTCTTTCCAAAGTTATAAAATCGAAATGAACTACTCATGTACCCACAACTATCCAGAATTATCTTTGGCTGTGATCCTCTTCAATCTCTTCCACTCCCACGGAAGTATTGGCCAATCATTCTCATTAACTATCATCTTGTACAAATTAAGTCATCAGCTAGTGGAGCAGGAGAATTTGACTCCTTGAGACTATGCATTTCATTTATCAAGGGTTAATGGAAATGCTTTTGTTTCCTGAAAGAAGAACTCAGTGGAATTTCCACTATAGTAGAACTTCACTATTAGATATTAATGCTCTACAGACACAGTGTGAATTGACTGATTTTATAATTTAGCAATTATAATATGAAAACTCAAAACTATATCCCAAGAGTTACTATACTGAGCTTATTTCGGTGAGATGCTGTGATTGAGTTTTAATTGCAGGGAATTTGGAATGGGGACATATATTTGTTAGACACAAAATTTCACTTATGGGCAAATTGCCTCTGTAATAGGATCCTGCCTTCCTTGTTCAAAATATCCCTCCTTTCTCTTCCAGCCTTCTCTGACCCTCTGTTGTAGGGGATTCCAATTAGGCTGGGAAAACTACTAAAATGAGCCAAAGGGTCAGGGGAAATGAGGGAGAGGTGAGACAAAAAGGGAAAGAGAATAAAAGACAGAGGAGACTGGAGAGCATTTCCCATACTTCACCCAGAGGGGATCTTTTGCCAGACATTGAATTTCACTCCAAGTAGTTTTAGCAAGTATGGGTCCTCTTCACAGGGTACCTCAAGGGATTTCCTTTGGAACTTTAAAATACTTTGCTAGTACAGAATTTCACAGCTCTGCTACAAACAGGAATCTGATATTTATGATTAGCACTTTTACAGAAGCTCCAGGCCACAGACTGTCTATGATCACAAGCAAAGGAAAAAACAGTCGCAGAGTGCCAGTGTATTGTGCTGCCCTTAAGCCATGCTTCCCATCTGGACCACACAATCAGCCCAAGAGTCTTGTTACAGGTCCCTTGTTATAGGTACAGTGCTTCTCTTCCTTAAATCAGAAGTTTCTTGAAGGCAGGGCCTGTATTTTATTCATTTACATATTCTTCACAGGGACCAGCAAATTTTACCATAAGTCTGTAATAAATGTTTTATAAGCTAAAGACTGCTAGTACATTTTATGGTAATCAGCACAGGAGTCAAAGATATCAAGCTATCTCAACCAAGGTACTTAGTAGGCAATCCTCTGACAGACTTCTGTGGATATCACTGGAAAAGACAGATTTTATTAGACAATAACTGTCCCCACACAAACAAAAGCATAAGATGATTCTGGGTAAAGTGAGGTGGTGAGAAGAGAGACATAGATAATAACGTAAGATTGTTTCTCACCACTTACTTGTAGCTCTCTGCCCCAGCTTACCAGGAAGTTGACATTTCCCTCAGGATCTCGGATCCTGGAACGCATGATATCTGACTGAAACAGGGAAGGAGTGGAAACACCAGCCTCCCACTCACTCTTTGCTTGGTTACAGCTGACAGGAAATCGCTTTAACATCCTGCTTGATATCCCGTTTATCAAAGTAGAGGACAAAACATGACGCTCTGAAAATATTTGGCCTTCTGCAGATCTTGAATGAAGGCTGGGAAAAACTCTCACCCAGATGGACTCCGAGTTAGTTTAAAGAGAGTTCACTCTCCTTGTTTATTTCTCCTTCTTCCAGTGTTGAATGCTCAGGAGAGTAACATCACGGATGTAGGAGGTAAACTTGCCAAAGGTTGACTGAATACTTAAAGACAGCAGGAAAATGACCAACGTAGGAATGCAGATGTAACTGGAAACCCCGTCCTGGGGCTTCAGGTAATGTTCACTCAGGGTTTCTTGAAGGTTTAGGAGGCAGATTAGCAAAAAGATATCTGAAAACTAAAATAGCCGTGTGTTTTTCCATATCTTCCAAAGCATAATTCCTTTAAAAACCCTTGTCTACAAACTAAGAGGCTATGGGAAGAGGTGATTCTTGTCTCTTTCCTTAAACACGTTGACTGAAAAATACCTATGCATATCTTTTGATAAAGCACAGGTGAAAAATAGTTTTTCTTCCCTTTGCAAAGGCAAGTAAAAATAAAACAAAGTAAAACCCCCATCACTCTGTGACTTATCACAGTACCCATTTGAAGTTGGTGGCAGGACAAGCCTAGGACCCAAGGAGACAGAAGCCTCCAGTCTGGAGTTGGCAGGAACTCAGAGGGTCATCCCACAGAGTGGCTGGGCACTCTCAAGGCTGGGTATGATAAATGGCATGCCCCTGCTTACAGAAGCTTAGGGATGCCAATGGTCGCAGTTGTATTTGGAGCAAACTCAGAAGGGCAACATTTAGTGAGATCCAGCCTCAAAGGTAAGAGTAGAGAGCAAGAATTTCATGAAGTTTCCACTTGCCATTTCAGCAAGGCCGAAAGAGATGCAGGGGAAGCATCTAAACTTAGCTCTAGGGGCCAGAGAAAAGGTTTTGCATTTCTTTTACAAATTTTAAACACTTAGGCTCCCCTCAAATGATACCAGAGGCTAACATCACAGATATCTTTGTGTGGATCAGACCAAGGAAAGGTAGCGAAGAATTCCCAGAACACTTCCAATCACTCAAGAAGCCAGTTTCCTGTTCTGCTCTTGTAAAGGACCAGTCACCTCATCTCCTTGGTCCTGAAATAGTCGTCACTGAAAGCACCAGCAAGCTGCTGAAGCTCTGCAGCAGTGAGTGGGGCTCACAGAGCTATGCCCATGACCTCATTGTCCAGCAGAGGAGGACACCTAGCCACATGCCACCCCTAAAATGACAAGCAGTTTCCAAAAGAGAAAAAAGCAAAGGCATAGTATGAAAGCACCTAGTAGGATTCCTTTAAAAATGTCAGTGGTAGAGAAATTAAATGTGTACATAAAGGTGCAAAAGAGTGTATTTTAAGATGAGATGGTGCACTTTTGAGTATTTTAGTGAGAGATTGGCATTTTGCATTCAGTAGTCAATGCTTGCTGGATGCTTTGATGCTATTCTTTATGACACATTAAAATTACTCTAACCCGCCTACCTTACCTATAAATCTAATCAACCTTAATGACTATTGTTTTAATAAATATTTGCTAACATAAAATTCCAAGATCATGTCTCTGGTATGCCTAAAACTAATTAACAATTTAATTTACCTTGAGTCAGGAACAAGTTCACTTCAGGACTTTTACAGTGAAGGAACAGTACAAAGTTCTTGTGCATGCCTTAACTCATTCTTTTAAAAGGAATGGAAACTCAAAGTCAGAAATGACTCTCTACAGGCAAAATTTAATTTTAATGCCCACTTTTTATATGTTGAAAATGATTAACAAATTCTGATTGAGGTCCATAAAATATACGGGTATAGACATGGACCACCGAAAAAAGAAATACTGAAAAATAGTATTTATTGGCTTCTGAGGCCTAAGTGTTCCTCAACTATTTATGACACTTGAGTTTTTCTTACTTAGTGATAACAGTAATATTGAGCATTTTAAAGGAAAGAAATTTGAGTAATTTTTTCACATATTTTTATATAAAATATGTATAGATTATTAATCCCCTTAATGGTTTCCAAGGATGCTAACAGTTCATTGATAGCCACTATGTTGGGCTACATAAATGACATCAGTGCTTCTCCTCTTTTGTATCTATAATCTTTGCCATGTGACTTTGTTTCTCCCACTCACTGTTAGTCTTTCTTCCTAGCTGAGTGTAGTATCTACAAGATCACCTGGCAACCAGCACATCCCAGACTCATGAAGAATCTCAGGCAAAGCAGCAGAGCCAATTACACGTGTCCAGGCACACAAGAGACAGCAGGCTGCTGGCCCAGATGACTGAGGATGATGGTTTTTGTGTTGTGTTGTTTTGGTGCTAGGAACTGAACCCAGACTCTCATGGCTGTTCAGTTATGTTCTCCATTCCTAGGATTAGGGTTATTCGTTATGCAGTAATACTGTGGCAATAAA